TGTTCTCCATGAGAAGCTTAAACAGTCCTAAACTAGATGGGATCCAACCAATTTTTTACCAAAAACACTAGAAGTGGTCTTAGGTACTCTTTTTTCCTTTGTAAACAAGGCTTTGATTGATGGTTACTTTGAGAATTCCTTGTTATTGGCTCATATTCCACTTATTTTGAAAGTAGACAATCCAAATTTTGTCTAAAAATTTTGCTCCACTTGCCTGTTGAATATGGCTTACAAGATTTTATCCAAAGTACTAGTAAACAAGTTAAAACCTTTTCTTCAGTAGCTTATTCGTCCATTTCAAAGCAGTTTCTTAGTTGAAAGAAGCATAGTCGACAATATTATTGTAACATAGGAAGCTATACACTACATGAGAAACATGAAAGGCAAGAAAGGTGCTATGATGTTCAAAATCGATCTACACAATCCTTTAATAGTGTGGATTATAACTTCTTGAGGAAAGTATTCATATTGTTCATTATTCTAGCACCTTTAGTTTGATTAATTATGTTGTCAATATTCGTTTTACAACTCTCAGTGTTATGGAATAGTGAAGATCTTCCATATTTTCAACCACAAAAAGGCTTACGCCAAGGCAATCCTCTATCTCCATACCTCTATTATGGTGATGGAAAAGTTATTAATTAATTTTAAGCAAGGTTGATTCACATTAATGGAAGCCTTTAGGATATCTCGAGGAGGGCTTGCCCTTGTTCTCCTCTTTCTTTTTAGATGAACTTTTGCTTTTTATGAGGCTTTCCATGGCCAAGCTGAAACGATGATGGATTGTCTCTCAAAATTCTTAGGTCCTTCTAGTCTAGACATAAATTTAGGGAAATCAAAAATTTTTGTGTATCCAAACATACGAGGACAAGTTGCAAATAGCTTAAGTTTAGTATGTGGGATCTCCTCAACTGATAATCTCGAAACTTATCTTGGTGTGCCTATTATTCATGGTAGAAACTATAATGCCACATACAAGTATATCCTTGAGAAGATTGAACTCAAGTTAGTAGGATGGAAACAGAAGTTGCTAAGCCTTGTAATTAGGAAAATCCTCGTGTAATCAATGACTTCATCCATACCAACATATACCATACAAACAATGCTTTTACCTATTAGCACCAACAAATGCCAATGACAGTTTAAACTAAAGATTTTTATGGGGCTCCGTTGTTAACTCTAAAAAGTCTTATTTAGTTGGATGAAATAATGTATGTTTTCCACGAGATGTTAGAGGACTTAGTATTCGTTCGGCTCATGATAATAATAAAGCCTTGGTTACAAAACTAGGCTAACGGGTGCTCTTAGGACAAACCAAACCTTGGTGTCTAGCTTTTCAAAAGAAATACTTGAGAACTTATCCCTTTATGAGCTGTCCTTCCCATTCCTCTACCTTTATTACATGGAGGAGCATGTTGAAGTGTCAAGATGTCATCTAGTTAGGCATCAACTAGCGTGTAGGCTCAAGAAACTCTATAAAATTGTGGCAAGATGTTTAGGTTGGTGAAACAAGGCAAGCCAACAATACTATCCTTCCAATCCCACCTGAAGATATTGAAGAAAATGTAGTTGTTGCTATCACGAATTGTGGTACTTGGGACACTACTCGATTAAGCTTTTTTCTTCCAAGCAATACTATCAATCAAATTGCAACAATCCCAATTCCATTAAATGGGCTAATAGAGGACCAAATGTTTTGGTGTGGAACTTCAAATGGGGAGTTTACAATTAAAACGACCTTTTCATTGATTCAAACTAAAAGTATCGGTTTAACATCTCATGGACATGGGATTAGATCTGGTGGCTCAAGTGTGCAAAAAGGATTAGATTTTTTGCATGGCTTTTTCAAAGATAAAGTGCTCTTACTAATTCGATTTAGTTTGATAAACATACAGTACCTTCACCACTTTGCATAAAATGTGAACAAACAATTGAGACACCACTACATTTTCTATATGACTACTATTATTCACAACTTGAGTGGGAAACAGTTAGACCATTGCCACCTAACTTCTTCATACTCGACTTTGATGTTTGGCTTCAAATAAATGCTATAGGCTCTCAGTAACAAGGTTCAATACCCATGGATTAGTCCCAATTGTTTCTTTCCATGATCTAGAATCTTTGGAAAAGTAGGAACAAGATGAGCTTCGAAAATCAAAGCATTTTTCCTAACATGGTTTGTGCACAAGCTTACATCCTAGCCTTGGACACTTGATCAACCCTCAATGCTAACATCATTATAGCCCTTTGAGCCCCTAGGTGGATTAGTTGGTGGCCTCCTGTTCCTCTTTTCTTAAACTAAATACAGATAGTTTTTTATATCACAATATTGGCAAGGCATGTGTCGAAAGGCTAATAAAAGATTCAAACAACAACTAGATGCATGGGCTCTCCATCCATATAGGGTATACTTCAATTTCTTGGTAGAGTTATGGGTTGTTGTGACAGCTTAAGGTTGGCTCATTCACTAGGCATTCAACACCTAATGTTGGAAATGGATTCTCTCGTAATAGTACAAACAATTAAGGATCAAAGAGTGACTGATAGTTTCACTTTAGTACTACTTTATGATATTTCCTCTTTGGTGGATGCTTTCACAAACTGTTCGGTCCAACATACTCTTAAACAAGGGAACTCAGTTGTAGATCACTTAGCCTCATCAAGACATAGGTTGCCATTGGGAATCACCACCTCCAGTAAACCATTTGATGGTATTGGTTTAATTCTGAAGGAGACATTTGTGGACTTTGTCCCTTGAGAGTTTAGGTTGTAATGTTGGCATCAATCAAAATAATAATAATAATAATAATAATAACAATAATAGTAATAAAGAAAAGATTTATTAAAAGTCAAAAGCCCTATTTTATTGTTCTGTTGAGCATGGACTTCTCATTTTGTTGTTTTTTTAATTAAGTCCATAAACATTTAATTGTATCTAATTTTTGTTATTTTTACTTTATTTCTCACTTTTGCTTTTTAAATTTCTGTTAGTACATTTATTTTAGAGGAAAATATGAGTGCCAACAATATTACACACAAAAATTATTTTTGAATTTAAAATAATTTTTTATTATATATATTTTTTATATTTACCCCATTTTATTATATCTATCAACACTTGACATAAGAAAAAAAAAGACAATTTTGTTGTGGATAAAATAAATAAATTTGTTTAAAAAGGAGAGGGGAGAAGAATAACTTGAGAATGAATTATTTTGTTTTATTTTTATTCATTTAATACTTATGAAAAGATTTATATAATAATTTTGAAAAATATAAAATTATTCCAATAATATTAATTATTTCCGATATTTTCATCTATAGTCGAAGGTTA